AGTCTATATAAGTCACACATACAGTTCAAAAGAGGAGAACATTCCCTATCAATTAATGATAAAATATCTCTTTCAGAACATGTTGTATATCAAAGAGATATAGTGATACACATTTTGTGCTATCATGTTATAGAAACAGTACGAACTTTTTTTTTTGAGAGTGCATCTCTTTCTCATTGTGTCATTTCATTGATAGAGATCTGATAAAAATAAGTTATGTATGATTCGAACGGGAAAAACAAAACTATCTTCTGGTTAAAAAAAAGTTTCCTTAAAGTATCTTTCCATGAAAGAAAAATAAGGGTAACATTTGTTCAATTACTTTTGCACTATATGTTATTTTATCTTTGTTATTTTAGACTTAAAAAAAACATATCTTTGTTGAATATCTGAATCAAAGATTAATACAAATTAATGAAGTTCTTCTTGATCCTCTCAAAATCTCCTATTACCATTAGGATTAAAACACTGGTAATTAATGAATGTACTTTATTTTCTTTGATGGTAACTTTCTTTTCACACCAGTAATTCAAATAATCACTGAAGTGCATCATACTGTTTTTATTTGATCAACTAATATAGAGGCAATCAGTTTTTGCAAGAAACATGGAAATTGATCGGCTTTTCTTTATTCTTTTCGGTGCTCTTTATACTATCGTTGTCCTATTCACAGTGGTCTTGTCATTGGTAATGTTGACAACAATTATTTATTATTGGCATCCACATTGTCGATCAACTTCAAATCTTCTTACTTGTAATTCTTGTGTTTCTTTTCTTCTCTTTAATGCCACTATTGGCATTCAAATACCGAATCTTTTTCAAGTCCAACAGCAGCAGCTCAGTAACAACCTGATGACAACAGCTTGTCGAATCTATGCTTTTCTATTCTTACTCGCTTGTATAGCAAAAATATTTTCTTATCTTATTCAAGCTATTTCACGTTATTTTATTGTTATTCTTTATAAACATAAAATTCTACTTACTTATTGTACAAGTATATTATTGATTTTATTTAGTTGGATATGTAGTCTAATTCTAGGCAGTTCGATGTTAATCTCGCCTGTTGCCTTTCAATACGAACCTGAATCTCATTTTTGTGTTTTAACGACTAAAGTATTTCATACATCATTTACTTTGATGATTATTGCTTTTCTTTTGCCTGTCAATGCTATTGTTCTTCTCTATGGTATTATCCTACGACATACAACACGAACTAATCTCATTCATGTTAATCATGTTCTTAAAAACAATAACAAACGAAGTATTAAAGTATTTCGTGATATTCTCATGGTTGTTGTCGTACTTATTATTGGTGGAACACCGTATCTTATCTCCATTATAGTCAATCATATTGATCAGATTCCATGGCCATTCTATTCTATATCTATTTTTTTTATGACGCTTTCTGCTGCCGTCGAATTGTCTGTACTTTTCTTTACCAATAACGAAGTAAGAAGAATTGTCTATCGGAAACTTGGTTTTCATCGGACTACCGAAGTTCATATAATTAATATGGGAATAATGACAAGAAATTTACCCATTCGCACTGGCATTAACAACATTGCCACAACACCAATAATGATTACATAATTCTTCTTGACATTTTCTATTCAAATTAACTATCGAAGATATAGAGCGAGACAGTCATTATATAAAGAGTGTGGGTGTAGTTATGATAGACAAGACACACAACTACACTCACATCCACACGTTAATTTCTTGCTTTATTTTCTCATTCTTTTTTCATTTATCTATTTCAGACAAAGTCAGCAGAAGGTGATACAGTTCGGGCCAAAAGTCCCTCACTCCCTGAACTCTATCAATAATCCAAGCTTTTGGCTTGATATTTTCACTGCTAGTAAGTACTGACAAACGCTGATCATAGACACCAACCCGATATCAATTCAATGTAATAGAACAGAGTTATACACCAAATATTATCATTACATTGCATTGCTTGTATCTCAGTTGGAGAATCCAACATTCAAAAGCTTGAGTCTTCAGCTTTCTTCGATAAAATTTTCATTATAAAACTCTTTCGGATTGCTAAGATATGAGTCTGTTTAACAAGTATTGACAAAATGACAATTATGATGATTTCTACTTCATCATAATGAAAATCATCTTTACATTGATTGATTCACTTGAAAATTTTTTCTCAATATACTCATAGATTCAGAAATGTTTCCTGAAAGTTTTAGTATTATAGCTTGTATTAAACTCGAAATGCGATGATATAATAGTCTTATCATCACATATGTCGCCAAACATTTATATCTCAATATAATCAGTTGTTCTTTCTAATCAGCATTATACACATTAGGGAGTACATGTATCACTAGAAAACT